ATAGATTATATAATTTTAATAAGTTTACAGATTGATCTTAAGTATAGAATATATATAATTTGATGTATGTAAGTGAATGTGTTATGTGTTCGTCTCTGTTAGCTATTATAGATTATACAATCTAATAAATTTATAGATTATTCTTAGTTAAAATGACAGATTATATTATAGATTATTCTAAATTTTAGATTATATAATTTTTGTTCTTGCATTACTAGTCTTGACTTGTTCAAAGGATTTTTGCAGCATAGCTGATGAAAAATCGTTCAAAGAGAAGAGTGATGGTTAATTAGCTATTCTGGAAAATCCTCTTCATTGTTCTCATAGTGTCCATATAGTTTTTTTGTATAGATTTGAAGTCCATTTTGTTGTAAATAAATGTTAAAATTATTAGGTTTTTTAATGGACGATATTCAGTTAGGCTTTTAATGGGCAATCATTAAAAATAAAAGGAAGTGGAATGTTTTGTAATTTTCTTATAAAATCAGGGATAGAACCCCAAAAGAGATTCTGCATTAATAGTATAGATATCTGAAGATCAAGTTAGAGTCTCAGCTTAAAAATTCAAGAAACTATGTAATATTACTTGATATTGGTAAGAGGAGCTTCAATATAACTTTTTAAAGTACATCAATTTCATTTTCTGATTTTAGGTTATGTTTTGGATATTGCTGAGTTATATAAATGACACGACTTATTTATCTAAATGACACGGCTGAGTTATCTAAACAAAACAGAAGTGAAATACAAAATAAACATACCATAAGTCCAATACAAAAAGAAAAGTTCATGAATGGTATACATATCATTTCCTCATTAATCGAGGATCTATGCTACCATCTTGACCCGTAAACCCTGAATTTTTGCATCGTAGATCCCCTATATCAGCCGCAATAGAAAACTAACTCAGCCACACCTGCATATATAAATAAGCCACAATAGAAAACTAATTCTGCCACAACTTCATATATAAATCAGCGGCAATAGAAAACTAATTCAGCCACAACATAAATTAGCCACACTCTCAAAAAACTCATAGTAAAACGTCAAAACATACCAGAGAAGACGATTTTGGATAATTTCAGAAAAGATTACTTCATAGAAGATGATTTTGGAGAAGACAATTTCCGACGAAAACAACGATGAAGTTTTACTCACGAAGGAAGTTTTAAGATGGACGTCGTTTAATTGCCTTCCTTTTTATCACAGTTATTTGTGACATGGATTGTTATTAGTGACATGGATTATTGTTATTAGTGACGTGGGTTTGTTAATAATGTTAAGCATACTATAAATAATCTCAATCTGAAAAACTAAACAAGGGTTATTATTGTAATTTACGAGGGACTTATCAACATTTGAGTAATTTTCAGATGATGTATGATATTGTAGTCATATAACAATTTTTCTATGCTATTTGAGTAATTTCTCTTTGAAATGCCATCCATCTCTCTCAGCCAACTGGGTTTGACTCAATAGTATGCTTTCTATGATACTCACATCATGGGGGTCCACCAAAGACTGAATTGCCTGCAAATTCCAAGTACGGGATCTTGTATTAATGAGAGAGTCTAATATAAGGTTAGGATAAAGGTTTTGATTATTGTTTGCAGGTCTCGGATGAGTGGTTGGGAGCTAAGGATCATTCCATACTGAGATAGATGATCATGATCCCAACCTTTTGATTTGTCCTTTGCTAACCAGAGATCTAGCAGATATAATACTATGCCATCCATATAACGTGAGTATGATCTTATGGGTTCCAGGGGTAATGCATTCCTGAAATACTTTCCTTCGAAAACTTGGGAAAATAATGTATTCGGCTTGTCGATCAAGCGCCAAAATTGTTTTGCAAACATAGTCGTTTTAAAATGCATAAGGTCTTTAAACTCCAACGTTCCTTCATTTTTAGAATTTCATAATTTTTCCCACGATTTTCAATGCATATCTTTTGTACTTTCCCATGGGCTCTACCAAAATTAAGCTACTGTACTCTTAATTTCTTCATCACGGTTTGTGGTAGAAGATAACAAGACATGACATGTTACCTCAGTTTCCCAATCGCCTGGATTAAGCTCAAGACTTGTGTTTTTGATCGTCCCAAACTCTCATGGATGAATCAGTAAGATATCTTGGAGTTCTTGTCTAAAGGATTATTTTATCTTGCCAAATTGTATATAAGATTTTATTTAAAATCAGCTTCATATTCTTTTAAAATCCTAAGGATGGTTTGACGTTCCTCTTTTTGAGTCTTACAGAAAAAGACTATCATCAGCAAAGAGGAGGTGAGATATCGATGTACAAGCCCTTGCAACCTTCAGTCACATTAGTTGTTTCTCTTGCTTAGCTTTTTTAATATTAACTATAAGATCCTCCATACACATAATGAATAGACAAGGAGACAGTGGATCCTCTTAACGTAAACCTCCCTGCGGAATAATGTTCCTTTTTGTTTGACCATTCAATAAAACTCGATATTGAACTGATGATATACATTCCATCGTTAATTGTATCCATTGGGGGTCAAAACCCATTATGTGAAGTAATGTAGAAATAATATCCCACTCCACTCTGTTATACGCTTTACTCATATTCAATTTTGTTGCCATAAACTTGTTTTGGTATGACTTATTAGTCCTTAACACATGAAACATCCCCGGTGCTCTAAGAATATTATCGAAAATTAACCTCTGGCCACAAAAACTGATTGTGTTTCCGATATGAGTGCAGATAGACAAGTCTTCAATCTCTGACATAATATTTTAGAAATGATATTATATCCTACATTACAAAGGCTTATAGGTAGTAATTTCTTCCTCCTTGTAGGCCTCTCCATTTTTGGAATTATACATATATTTGTGATATTTATAAACATGATATCCATTTCCAGAAATGAGTAAAATAATTGACCAAATCAACCAGGTCCATTTAATAATAGGCCAAGAGTGTATTCCATCTAGTGCCAAAGATTTCTCCGGATGCATCAAAAATAAAGCATGTCGGACCTCATCCGCCGTCGCCATCCTAAGGAATCTCTGGTTTGTCTGATTGGTGGTGCTTGGTGTAATCTCATTCAAAAATCTTTCGAAACCTAAAGTTGAGGTAGTACTAAATAGATATTCAAAATAATCACTGCTACCTTCTCGACTCCTTTATCCTCTGTTATTGATTTCCCATCTCCATTTTGTAGTCCCACTATCCTATTACGAGTACGACATTGCTTCTTTAAGGCATGATAAAATGTGGTATTGAGATCCCCAGACGTGTTCCACATATTCTGAATTTTCTGTTGCTAATAGTCTTCTTCATCCTTATACGCTTAATATAATTTCCTAGAAACTTCCAATATTTTCTCATGGTTCCTACTAAGATGCTTGGTGTAATCTCCATTGTGTAATCGCACTATCCTATTATGAGTACGATGTTGCTTCGTTAAGGCATGATAAAATGTGGCATTGAGATCTTCGTAAGTATTCTACATATTCCGACTTTTTTCTTCCAATACTCGTTTTCATCCCTATACATTTTCTGTAATTTCTTATAAACTTCTAATATTTCCTTATGGGTCGTACTATTATATGTTTGTACCTCTTCTAAAGCTCCCATACTGTGGATTTTGTTTTGTTATGCAGTAATTTCATGTCGTTAGTTGGAAATTTTCGTAATTAGATAATCGGATCCACCATCTGTGGCCCAGCCACTACCGATAGAATCCAGTAGACCTTCCGAATCCATCTCTTATCAAACTGAAATTGACCATGCCGTCTTGGTGTTTTATCTTCATAAAAAGCTTCTACTGGCCGATGGTCAGAGCCTACCAAACCTGAATATAATGTATAAGAACAAGGAAAAAGTGTATGACAATCTTTATTTGCCGAGCTCGATCCAAACGACACTGGATAAATTTTTTTTCTTTTCACCTTTGCCAATACATCTGATTCCCTTGAGCTAGCTGAAACTCCAATAAACCACAAATTCTAATCATATTTTTAATGGGAGAAATGATCATGTATTTCTCAATTGGACTTCCTATTTTTCATGGGTCCCAGTTTTCTTTTTCAATTTCCTATACTAAACCAGAACTCCGATCTCAATAAGGCATATCTTGTTAATCTCTCCCATGAATGTAACCTTACTCTTTGAACGGAGTCTCCATAGAAAATATTAAAAAAAAAGAACTGTTTTGTTAAGAGTTACCGCTTCCACTTCTATTATCTTATTGGTCGAATAGAGAATCTTTATCTGACAATCATTGTTATAATAAAAAGATAACCATCTATTCATCCCATTTGGATCTACTATAACCAAATTATCAAAAGCGAAATGTGTCTGAAATTTTTGGACAAAAAAAAAATCTTGCTTAATAAAAGCGCAATATTTTCGATTAAAAGATGAAAAATAGAAATGATCACGTAAATTTGTGAAAATATAAAATAGAGTAATTTAAGCGTGCGATTTAATTCAGATATTTTTTAATGGATTTAAAAGCTCCATGATTCCATCTACTACTGCCCAATGTACATCGTTTGTGCAATTTTGTTTTTGGGCTAAAATCTGATGCATATAAAATTAAAAGAGCATAAACGTTTTATCTTCCTACTCTAGAATTTTAAGGTTTGAGAATAAGCTCTAGACTAAGCTACGAACTTCTTAAGTAATTAGAAACTTACAACAATGCAAGCGTAAGTTCGACCTTTGTTACCTATTCCACATACCATTGACGTCCATCCCATATTTTGATAGTTCTGAGAAGGCCTTAACAGATATATGAACTCTTGATATAATTAATGATATCATGTATTTAATCACGTTTAAGTTTCTACATGTGATTACTTCACTTTCGTCCAAACAGAAGTTGTTTTGTTTTTTATTCTTTTCTTTTGGTAATCATGTTAAGACACGTGTGGCTTTTTAAAAAAATATACAAAATGAAGTAAGCCAAGGCTGGTCATCCATTATTATTATATAACCGGACTACTTCACTGCCTCTCACTCAAACAATGGCAGTTGAGTTTCAAAACTGCTTCATCTTCATTCTCCTCAGCTTCTTCTCACTTTTCTGTTATTCTGTCTTCTTCTCGAGGAAGACAAAACTTGAGGTTGATTTTCCTCCAAGCCCTCCCTCTCTGCCTGTCATCGGCCATCTTCACCTTCTTCTCTCTGCAGTATCCCACAAGGCTTTTCATAACATCTCCACCAAATATGGACCTCTTTTGTATCTCAAAATCTTCAGTTTTCCCATAGTTCTTGCCTCTTCTGCCTCAGTAGCCTACGAGTTATTCAGGACGCACGATGTAAACGTCTCGTCTCGCGTCCCTCCCATCACGGTCGAGTCTCTCATCTTTGGATCTTCCGGTTTCGCCTCTGCTCCTTTTGGAGATTACTGCAAGTTCATGAAGAAGCTTCTAGCCACGAGGCTTTTTCGAACACAGGCAATCGACAACTTAAGAGGTGTCCGTGCAGAGGAGCTAGAGCGGTTTTACTTGAGTCTGTACGACAAGGCGGTGAAGAAAGAGAGCATTGAGATTGGTGAGGAAACGATGAAGTTCACTAACAACATGATCTGCAGGATGAGCATGGGGAGGAGCTGTACAGTGGAGAAGGGTGGGATAGAGAGAGTCAGGGAACTGACTATCAAGTCTTTTGCCTTATCCAAGAAGCTTTTCTTTGCAAACACATGTCTTACTTGGCTCGAGAAGCTTGGAATCTCAATATTTAACAGGGAGATAATGGAGGTTTCACACGGATTTGATGAGTTGTTGGAGAAGATTCTTGTGGAGCATGAAGAGAAACCGACGGAGGAGGAAAAAGATATGGACATGATGGATTTGTTACTGGAAGCTTCTCGAGAGGAAAACGCAGAGTATAAGGTCACTAGGAAGCAAATCAAGTCATTGTTTGTGGTAAACTAAATCCTCTTTCACATCACATTTTTTTTTAATGACTAGGAAGTTATGGGCCCGTAGGTCCGTACATCTCCAAACCCTTTTATATTCACTCTCCTTTGGAGAGACTAGAACTTGAACTATGACCCCTTCCACACCTACTAGATAATCTAAGAGTTTCACCCACTATGCCAACTTCTCGTTGGTTTTTTACATCACATTATATTAAATGTGTTTTCTTTGGATGTGTTAAATGCTACTTCTAACTAAGAAACTGCAGGAGATTTTTATGGCAGGCATAGACACTGCGGCACAAGCAACACAGTGGACAATGGCGGAGATCATTAACAACCCAAAAATTCTGGAGAGATTAAGAAGGGAAATTGATTTGGTTGTAGGAAAAGAAAGATTGATTAAAGAAACGGATATACCAAAACTCCCTTATTTGCAAGCGGTGGTCAAGGAAGGGCTAAGATTGCACCCACCAGGGCCGTTTCTGGTTAGAAGGTTCCAAGAAAGTTGTAAGATCAAAGAGTTCTATGTACCGGGGGAAACAACCCTTCTTGTTAATGTTTATGCTATCATGAGAGATCCTGATTTGTGGGAAGATCCGGATGAGTTTAAGCCAGAGAGATTTTTAGCTACTTCAAGATCAGAACAAGAGGAGGAGATAAAAGAGCAAGCATTCAAGTACATTCCTTTTGGAGCCGGAAGAAGAGGATGTCCTGCAGGAAATTTGGGTTCTATCTTTGTAGGAACTGCGATTGGAATGATGGTGCAGTGCTTTGACTGGAGAATCAAAGGACATGGAGAGGTTAGCATGGAAGAGGTTATTGCAGGGATAAGTCTTACCATGGCTCATCCGATTAAGTGCATTCCTGTTTCTCGACTCGGCCCGTTTAGCCCTTAATGTGCAGCAGTGTCCGAGTTTATGATCCGGAAGATTAATCATGCAATTGTTCATCTTCTTCACTGTATTAATTTATGGTCGGGAAGTCAAACATCCAAAATGAATAAGTTATTAGAGGGGTTTCATCTCTTTGGTTTAATGATGAGTGCATTGTATCTCGTTTGTGAGCTGGGTTTAGATTCCTACTATATCTAAACTTCACGTTTCTACATTAATGAAGTTTTATCATTTTCTTCCCGTTCTTATTTCTCTTAACATGGTCTCATGGAGAAATTTTAAGATACATCATAGATGTCATTATCTAACATGATCTGGTTTGTATCAAAACGAACTTTCAAGTCATTGTTAATTACAAGAATATATGTAAACTTATTTATGATTTACTTGTTTTCTTAGTTACCATGACAAATAAAATAAAAAAAAATCTAAATATATTTATGGTTATAAAACAATAATAAAGCTATCTAAATTAAAAATATTCAATACTGAATAACTCATGCAAGCCACATCTGGGCATGTCATTTTTATGAGAATAAATAGTCAAAAATTTAGTCGATTTGATTACATTTTTTTGCATTTTCTATGTTCTTATCAAAATAATAATTTTTAAACAAAACTGGAAAACATGACACTTAGAACTTGGGTTTGTCCCACTAGGACTTTGTCTAATTTTTTTTTTTGTGGGATTAGGATTTTAATTACTGTCAATATGCTTGTACCCTTGTTTAATCAATTTAGCTTTATAGCTACCTTTTCTTCTCTTTTCTCTCGATTTTCAAGCAATCTTCTTTGATTTTCTTATACCCATTGATATTTTGCATCGTTAAGGTTTGTTTCGATCGCAAAATTAGATCATCATCAAGGTAGTTCCTTGATAAACTTAATTTTTATGCTGTTCCATTGTAAGATTTTGGATTCAGACGTCAAAATCTTAGATCGAGGATCGAAGTTAGCCTGTTAGCCTGTTAGAGATTGATGTTTAGGAAAATGACTAAGGTTTATAGTCTTCAAGAAAATCAAAGTTGTAGATACAGTCTTAACATTTCGGTCAATTATGTATGATTTCCCATTTGGTTGTTTGGACAAAAAGCTTGTTAAAGTATCATTTTTTCATATGATTATTGTAACAACTCAAACCCACGAGCTCAGAACTTTTTATTAGTTTAGGGAAAACCCGTTAGGTTTGCATCCCATAATGACAATCCCTATGGTTTTTCTTTGTTTTCCTATTAAAAGAAGTGCATCCATCTCTTTTTTCTGCAGATAGAATAGGAGTGAAACCCTGTAGAGATTTCGAGCCATCAGCCGTCAAGTAACCCAAACCCTAGCCGTCGTCGGCACTAACTCCGGCGACCACCACTGCCACCAGAGAGTCTCCACCACCGTCATTGTCTGCGTTTTCTATTGCTCTTATCTTGTGTTGTTATCAGATCTGTACGGTAAGCCTCCGATTAACTTCTGCTGCTTCTCTATCTATCTTTTCAATTATTTATAACTGGGTGTGATAGATCTGGTTCCTAATCCCTATTCTCACCTTCTGTTGAGTGTGAGAATACAGATATGTGGTTGTGTTGTTCAGCCTCATTCTTCTGCTTCTAGATATGGATCTGTGACATCGATAAAGGCTAAGGTGAGGACTCGGCTGTGAACCATTTTTATGTTGGATAATGTATCGGGCGTTAGTACCTTGTTAATATTGTCTAGATCTACGTATGAATGGTGTTGATATGATGAAAGTATGATGGTTGTTGATTGTGATGAAAGAACCTAGTGAATGATAAGTTGTTAAATGATGAACCGGTTGCGTGTTGAGAACGAATGAGATGATGAATTGCTTGATAACATTAAAATGAGTTGTTCACTGTGATGAAAGAACCAAGTGAAAGATAGGTGTGAAAGGATAAACTGGATGTGTAATGAGAAGGAATGAGATGTGTGATGAGAATAAAAGTGATGTGAATGTGAAAATGAGTTGTGTGATAATGTTGAAAGTCGATGAGACTGCTGAGTGTTGTGACCTGTCGATCCGTAAGTAAGGAGATGTGAATGCCGTTGATCAATTATGTTTGGGCAATACAAATGACGTCGATGAATTATGTTTGGGAAATACAAATGCCGTCGATCAATTAAGTTAGGGCTATAACAAATGCCATTGATAAGTTTTATTGCGTTAGAACGCATCGAAGAGGGAGGGTGGTAACGAAGGGGAGGAAACCGTGATTTATGGTATGAGCTATGAGCGCTGTCGATAATGATTAGGGTCGCTCGTGGCGGAGACACGTCCACAGGTGAATAGGTCTTGAATGAGTCTAGATTCTAGGCTATTTGTGCTTGCTAGGTGATATTAGCTTGTGACTAATATTGTTGCATTGTGTAATATGAAATGAGTTCGTAGGTTCCCAAAACCTACTCTCACTGAGTAATCTCAATTACTCACCCCTCCTCCTTCAGGTATGATCAAGAGGAGCAGGAGTAGGAGTCAGGATGGTATCATCTATTTGGGTTTATTAAGAGTTTTCACTATGTTTTCTTAAACTATTGTTTATGTTATTTGGGTTTTGATGAGTTTATTTTCTTGTAAGACGGTTAAGTTTTGAAATAAAGGAAGTATTGAATTGAAGAGAGTGTTGTTAAAGTTGAAAGTAAGATTCTAGAGATTGGATTGTTATAATTGGTATCAGAGCGGGGGTTAAACTCATCTGGTACGGTCCCGGATGGGTAGGTGTAGATCAAAGTGTTTATATACGGGTTTCAAAAGAGTTTCAAACGTTTTTCTAAATGGGAGGTTTTCAAAAGATGAATATAAAGGCACCATTCAGACCGAAGCTCCTCGCTTACTCGTCGAGGTTAGTGAACTCTTTTGCGACAAGAATCTGGCACCATTTGTTTTATCAGGATGCCACCAAAGAATACCAAATTTACGTTGGCAATGAACACTACCCAAAGAGCAGCACATCGTTCCGCTAAAACTAAATCCCGTACTAAAATTTTGAATGGAAGTTGTACCGATGTCGAGCCAATGTTCAGATACACATCAAGAGGGGTTCCAAAGAAGAGTCAAGTTGTTGTGGATGTTGCAGTCTTGGAGAATTTGCAGATGTACTGAGAGGTCTACGAAGGACGAATGACAAGGAATGGTGGTCCAATAGAAGTTGGACCCGGACAATTGTTGGGCCCAAATATGGCCCGTCGGCTGAAGTTAGCAAACCAGTTGAACCAAGTCTAATAATGGGCCGCACATGGGTTACTATCTCGAAGAAGAGTACAGCTCACCTAAGGACGGAAGCTATTCCCAAAGAGGTCACGAGAAAGAGGTCACGAGAAAGAGGTCACGAGAAAGAGATCACGAGAAAGAGATCACGGAGAAGAGGTCTGGCTTCTTTCGTGGGAACCTAATAAAACAGCCTAGGAAACGAAGATAGAGACGTACAATTCGGTCAAAAGGAAGCTGTTGCAAATCCCTCAGTTTACGGAGAGAATCTCGGAGACTAATCAGGAGAAGTTACACGTGACCTGAGGCTATTTAAAGGAAGAGAGAACGAAGAGAAAAGGGGATTCATTCATTCTACCATTTTTACACACATTATTGCTCACAAATCATTCCCATAATTCTTTGTAATCATTAGAATCATCTTATTAATCATCTTTGTAATCATTCTTCGTCAAAAACATCAATACAATCATAATTCATTCTCTAAGTTCATACGGGATTCAGCCCACGATCGTCTTCTCCCCAATCTTAACCTAACCTAAATTAGGAAGTGAGTTTTATCCCTCACATTTTGGCGCCGTCTGTGGGGACGGGATAATTGAATCCTTTACTACGTAACTTGAGAATGGATCCATCCAATCAGGCAACGAGCCCATCCATCCCGGATCCCGTGATCCAGATCGATGGCTCACCGAAAAGGAGAGACCCGGATCCTCAAGATCCGGAACCTCGATCCGCCGATCACCGATCCGAGCAACAGCCTCCGGCTAATGCTCAACCAAACCGAACTGGGATAGCTAACCCAAGGTCTTCCAGTGGAAACAACACCGGGGTTACGCTCCCTAAAAAACCCCCAACGTCAACACGCTCCGCATCACTCGGAAGCTCAGCTATCCGAAATGCGCCGAATGATGGTGCAGTTGGTAGAAAGAGCTCAGGATAATGAGTGTACGTTGCAACAGCTAACTGCCCGGCAACAACGGTTCGAAGAGGTGACTAGATCTCTAACCGAGACAAATCACCCGTCGCAACGTCAAGGCTCAGGAATCGCCTTCCGAGATCGACTCACCGAACCCACGTTCCCTCGAGGACGCCTGGACTTTTCCCCCAACAGCATTGCTCGTAATGGGCAAGAGCCTGTTCTCCGGACACCCCTTACTGGGACAACCCCAGTATTTAGTCCACCTATAACTAGCGCTATGGGAAGTAACGTAGCGACGACCAGCTCTGTACCCAATAGGGTTCACGAACACATCACACGATTGCCGCCTCCGCCACCTATTTTTAGGTCCGGAGAGGGAATATCTCCCCCTCCTAGGGGCAGAGCACCGACTTCAGCTTACCAAATTGGAAGCGCGACCCCTAACCGAGACAACCTGAGGGCGGAAGCCGATCCTACAGCTCACCCCCCAGGTCGCGTCCCCCAAGGTGGCTCTAGAGCTAACGAGCGATGTAGCCCACCTAACGCTTGGGATAACGATTACACTCGACTCCATCAAGAATCCACTCATCAGATTCCTCGCGAAGACCCAACCGTCCTTCCCCTAGAAGGACCTGAGGCTATTCGCCGATACATGGAGCAAACTCACGCAGCTCTCCAGAAGCTGAACGCTCAAGTACATAAAGCAACGAGCTCAGCTCCCGAAATCGAGAGCTTGATTGAGGAAACCCGTGGAACCCCATTCACAGATAAAATCGCTAGCTCTTACATAAGAGATACCCGAAAATTTAGGATTCCCGAATATGACGGGACCTCAGACCCCAAGGCGCATTTGAGAGCCTTCCGCTT